GATGTCTGGGTGACTCCTACGGAGTTTTCAGCGACTTGATTATGACTCCATAAAGCATGATTCTATATTTGATGTTTATAGATTGTGATTGATGGTCTGTTTCAATTGAATATCACATATTTGCATTATTGTCACTCACTCGAGCTTCACAGCTTATTTGAGTGTCTGATTTGCCCAGTGTCCCATCTCCTTGATGCAGGCATGATTGTACATATGACAAATATGGGTAGATTACGAACAACAACTTGGTATTTTAGTTATGTTGAGTGGTCCGGAATCGTTACCCTTGCTCATTTCCATAAGGTTAGTCTAGAACCCTAGATTCGAGTGAATGAGAATTACCCCTAATAGACGTTGTGAATATAAATTAGAATTACCATGTTTATTACTCATAATCCAAGTAGGGAATTATATAGATTCCCTTAGTTAAATTTGTGAAATGACAAGTTATCGCATTGATTGATTAACGTAAATAAATGCTAAGATCATGCATTTTTTTTTATTAATTGACGAGATTGCAGAATGACTTTGGGTTATTATTTTAATATTTTAGTTGATCAATGTGGCTTGAGAAGAATATTGTGCTTCGTCATTGGTTCTTTGACATATTGCATGGTATGCATTGTCATATATTGTTGAGACATAGCGATTTATGTGATGGTTGTTTGAGTATAATGAAATGACGAACTACGAATGGCTTGATCTCTATTGAGGGTACGTAGGCAGTCTAACGGGAGGTTAGATGCAGCCATAAAGTGTACAAACAACTTTTCTACGCAATTCGAGGCATGGGATGTGCTCGGTATATATCCCAGAGACGTGTATGTTAGATATATGGTTATTTGATGACGTCACGTGTCGATCCTGGATGTATGTCGAGATCGGGGCATGACACCTCACCTCCGCTCCATCCCTTCTTTCTTCTGCCCCCACCCAATGCTCTATACCCAACCCACCTCCACTCTCTTCACCTCCCATCCCTTCTCTCTCCTCCATCCTCTTCACCTTCACCCTTTGCAAAAACCCTAATCCCCAAAATATAAGGAATACAAATTTGAAATTTGATCTGGAGTAGCTACGATTCACGAGCCAATCGAGGAGAAAGAAGAACCAAAGCAAATGAGCCACCACGCGCCGTTGTCGAAGTCCAGTGGGGTGGCGGCTGGGGCTAGGAATGCTTAAGAATCAGTTAGTATTTGGAAATTTATCCAAATTAGGGATTTGGGTCAACTGGGTTTTTGATAAATTTCATAAATTGTATGGGTTTCTTGTTGAATTGGAATTCCTTTGGATGGGATTTTGTTGAGTTGGGTGTGCGGGAAGGGTGGGTACGGGTTATAGAGGAGAGAATGGAGGGTGGTGCAGGTTGCTGAAGAGAGAAGGGATTGAGGGGTGCTAGTTGCAAAAAGAGAGAAGGAAGGAAGAGGGTGGGGGGATGAGGTACGAGACGGATGGGTTTTTTTTGTATTTTTTATTTTATAATATTCAAGTGAGCCCATATTAACATGTGGCACCTAGTTATTGTTCACGTGGGTGCCACATCATCAGTTAACAGAAGTTCTAACGGAAAACTTAACGGATGTATGAAAGTGTCCTAGAATTATAACTTTAGAAACCAGACAGGGACGAAAAAAACTTCACTGTTGAAAAACAAGAAACTTCAAGGTAGTAAACTGAGATTAAGCCTATTTTTAAGAGTAAATTATAGTAATGATCCCTTAACTTTAACTCAATTGAAGCAATAATCATTCAACTAAAAATCTACTACCATTGGTCTCTATACTCATCAAAATGTGCAGCTATGGTCTCTTAACTAATAATTTATTACCATTAGTCCCTCAACTTTAATACAACTGGAGAAATGGTCCTTCAACTTTAACTCAATTGTAGCAATGGTCCTTCCAACATAACTCATTTTGGCAAAATTCTGACAAAAATGACTATCGTTACACATTTTGATGAATTGAGGGACCAATGGTAATGAATTTTTAGTTGATTGATCATTGCTCCAATTTAATTAAACTTGAGAGATCATTACTACAATTTACTCTCTTTTTTTATATAAAAATAAACAATCGATGCAATTTTAACATGTAAAAAAATTTCTTTACATAATTAATTATATTTATTTCAACATATTATTATATCTTTATCAATGCAATTGTGTGTATATTTCATGAGAGATATGAAAATTTAAAATTATATTTTTGAGAGCATTTTTACTTACTACCATTCAATTTAGTGGATGTTCGTCTTCCTATCAACAGATTGTCATGTGTCCCCTCCTACTCAAGGTATTAAATATCGATGATATCGGAAATATCGGTAGTCCAAAAACACAGAAATATCGATGGAAATATCGGGATATTATCGATATCGATAAAAATAATATGGAAACCACGGAAATTGTAAGAAAAACTTGGAAATTTTTATTGAAACTTTGCAGAATGTTTATTTAGTCAATTATCTATTAGTTTATCATAAAAAATTGGAAGAAAATGCATTGCATGATGGATTTAACTGATTTAAGTTGATTATATAGCGAGCTGACAAACATTGTGAGTGTAGAAAATATGTAGTAATTAATGAAAGAAGTTTAAACACACCATAATCATTTATATATAATGAATTAGTACAATATTTTACACTTTATACATTACATGGTATTAACAATTTAATGTTCATTCGTACAACTAAATATATGCAACTCGACAAGATTTAGACATGAGTGAGTGAGAAACAGAAAAAAGAGGGGCACTTAAGATCTAAGAGAGGAATTTTCACTATTTTATGATTAATACAATTTCAAGGATAAATGCACATTCAGCATCTCTAATAGTAATACTATATTTGGGGTACCATACTATATTTCAAGTCAAATGTGAGATGTCTAAATGAACTAAGCAAGATAAGATCAAATTGCTTAGGGTATTAGAAAATAGAAAGTGAATAAAAATGACAGAATATTGTACCGAATTTTGCACTTCCAACTTTTAATGCATTAGGGTGCATTGTAGACGTTCAAGTTCCATATTATAGCATATAGCAATTAACAACCCGAAAATCGACACATTGGAGAAGACCTAACATTAATCTGGGTGCTAATGATGTTTTTCAAGTTTGTATAAAGTAAATGTCAAATTTTTTACGTATTTGGAAATTATATCTAGCGCAAGGACTTGTATCATCCTAAACAATTTTTTCGTTGATAGTTATTGGAGCACCGCCCGTTTTTGTGTTATGTAATGAGTGGTCACAAGCTATGGATAGACTCTCGGATGAGGAAGTTGTTGAAGCCATCGGGGGATTCACAACTAGTATACATACGCTTATAATGGAAGACAACAATATTAATGTAGAAATGGTGCAGCAAAGGATGGTAGCTGAAAACAAAGATGTAGCAAGGAAAGTAAAGTTTTTGGAGGCAGAGGAGGGGAAGGAACAGAAGATTCTGCATAAGCTGGTGTGCGGTAGAGGAGGAAAAAAGAATGTTGCTTCTAGTAGTTTGCATCCCACATCGGCCGTGCACTAGAAGTGAGCAAGCAAACAGGTCTATAAAAGCTAGTTTGCATCCCACATCGGCCGTGCAATAGAAGTGAGCAAGCAAACAGGTCTATAAAAGCCACATTCCAAAGCTGACGAAGGTATACCTTTCTCGGCCTTTTGGCTAAGATCAGGTGTAGTATCCGTTCTTGTTAGTTTAATATTTTTGAGCATTTTTAAGTAGTTTTGGGTTTCGTCTCGCGATATATTGCCCAAATAAAGCATTGAAACGCTGAAAATATCGTTTTTGATATTATCGACGAAAATATCGATATATTGACGATAATTAAGGGGATAAGTGTGAAAATATCGCTATCTAGAAATGATTATATTATCGGCGATATTTCGCCGATAATATCGATATTTTGGACAATGCTCCTACTAAATAACTAGAATTAATTTTAATGTTAAATATTTTTAAAAAGTATTAAAAAATTATATAAAAAAAAAAAAAAAAAAAAAAGGGCATTCAACCCAACACTAAGCGTTGATAAGTGTACCTTCCTTCCCTTCCTCTCCCTTCCACCCAACAGCCGTCGCCACATCTCCCAATCTCAACAACGGAAACTAACACCCACCCACTTTGCTAGCGCAATCGCCACTGCCACCTTCCATGCCTTATTTATTAAATTGAAAAAATGCAAAAGTGCATCATATATCTCCTCATGAAGATGCTTTAATTGAACTACAAATTATTTGTACTATTTTATTAAATTTAAAAAAAAATCGAACAAATACCACTTGAACGGTTTCAACGTAGTCCTCTCTTGTTGTTGTAAATAATGGGCATTTACTTCACAAGGAATTATGCCTTAGTGGTAGCTCTTTCTAATGTAGCAGAAGTTCAAAGTGTTTTTTTTTTTTTTTTAGCAACGGAGAAAGTTCAAAATTTAAATCAATAATCATCGTCGATTAATTAAAAAAATGGCCATGTTTCAAGTTTATTCTTGTCAATCTACATGACTAGTGACTACTGCACCTGATATTGACTAAGAGTCAAGTGTGATAACATCGATAAGTAAGGGCATATGTTTACATACACTTTTATGTATGAAAATGACATTGAATCAATGTAGAAGGATACCTAATTATTGGAGTATAGGATAGACAAACCCCATATTATTTGAATCGAACTGAGGAATTCAAAGAAAAATTCATACATACCTTTCATTTCTTGTTCTGTTTAATACGCTTTCAAATCATACAAAATCTAGAGAATTGGTAGAGAGAGGTCGAAACTCGAAAGCGATTATAACTTGTACAATTCTAAATAAAGTGTAACGATCATGTGATTGGCAAGAAAAAAATTCCTTATCCATCTATTACAAATATATTGCTTGTGGACAAGTTATCACCTAGTGGCTGTAGTTTAGTGGTAAGAATTCCACGTTGTGGCCGTGGAGACCTGGGCTCGAATCCCAGCAGCCACACTTTATATTTTCTTCTTTTTCCCCTTTTTAATTCTCAACGGCTATGCACGATACGACGTCGTTGCCCAAACTGCAATATATCAGCGCGTTCCTTTTCCTCAATGCACAACACAAACAGCACCTCTTCACACTCTCGGAAGGCTTCGTCACTGACCGAGTAATCGACTCCAAAAACTGTTAGATTCTCGATCTCTTTCTCAATTCTTTGAATTATGACCGCTTCGATCCCTAAGATCTCCAAATTCGTTATTGCAATTCGAAATTTTTGTGTTGTTTTGCTGTGCAGATCGGTTTTGTTTATTTGTTTCGTAGATCTATTTTTGTGCGCAGTCATTTGGAATTTTTTTTGCGCCTTTTGGTTATGGTTTTTGAATTTGAAAGAATCCAGTTTTAATACAGTTGGGTTTGGAAATTGGATGCTTAGCTGAATACGGATACAAAATTAAGCTTTTTTTTTTGCTAGTGCAGTCTATGGTGAAGAAGGAGGGGTAATTCAAGGGAAGCATAAATTTTTCTAATCGCTGTATGGCGTGGAGAATTTAAGTGTAATGGGTGTTTTATGATTTAGAAAACGTTGCCATAGGAACAAAATTGGGAATAAATATTTGTAGTAATGTGAGTTATTCACATGAAAGGTTTTGTTGGGTTTGATTTTCTGTTTTCTTAGAACACTAAGCGTTTCTGACTAATTTACAAGTTATAAACACAACCCGATTTCCTCTGTATGCTTTATTTGTTGATTTTCACTAGTTTCTGGGATTTGGCTTGTTTTATGGTTGATAGTTTTCCAACAATGGTTTTGAGTTTGGACTTCATTTAGATGTGATCTTTTTGTTGGGTCAACTAGGGCACGATTGATAATTATTTCGTTTTTGGTTTTGACTATTCATTTTATGTGCTTTAGATAGAAGAAAAGTATGTGGGAGAAACGAGGAGTGGGGATGAAGGGAGGTGATGGGAGCGAGGATGGAGAAATGAAGGGAGAATTTATGAAAACAGATGCTTGAAAGTGAAAACAACTTAAAAATTGTTTACAGTTTTTGGGTTTTAGTTTTCATTTGGTGTGTCATTCCCTACACATTCCTTTCACATTTATTCCCCATCCTTCCTTCACCCATATTCAATTCTCCCCACATGCCTTTCCTACTCAATTCAATTCCTCCTCGATTCAATTACTCTCAATCTGACTATGGATTAGTAAATGTGCCATTAGTGTTTCTAACAAGTGTGTGTAGGATAACCTATTTAACAAGTATTTCACATCATAGTATGATGCTGAGGAACACTGAATCCTTCTGCTAAACTTTCTAGTTTTTCCTTTTTGACAGGTGATGGATGATCAGGACCTGGGCTTCTTTGCCAATTTTCTCGGCATCTTCATATTTCTACTGGTAATAGCGTATCATTTTGTGATGGCCGACCCAAAATATGAAGGCAACTAATGATCTGTTTCTTTTTTATGTATTTGCAATGGATATGCAATTTTCTCGCAACTAATGGGGTTACGCTATTAATTTTGTAGCGTGAACTATTTCAGAATGCATACAACTTGATTTAGTGAAAAGTTTTGGTATACAATATGACTGTGCTGTTATACACATGATTTTCTTTCTCTAGTTTATCAGTGCTTCATATTTAGTTTTCCACGCCTTTGCAGTGTTAAGGGTGTGGACTGTGTTCGGACTGTGTTTTGAAGGTTACCATTGGCTGTGGTAGCGAATCAAGTGATCCGTTGTTCATAGAAAGTGCGAAAAGCACATTTTAGGGTTCACGGAAAAGAACATTCCTTTTGGTGAATATTCAGAAAGATATAGGGAAATTACAATGTGTACTGAGGTCAATGGAATATTGAAAAATCTAATGGCATTTGCCAATCTGTTAGATGTATTGTCAAAGCTAACCATCTCTCATATGAGCTATGTATGTGCATTAAATTTGACTAGTTTTCTCACATCTTTCTTCATCTCCATTGTTTCTCTCGTAATGCTTTGAATGCAGAATCCCAGGCTAGTTAAACAAAGAACCATTTGGCTCTTGTGTTTCTCTTCACTGTTGCTAGCATGTACCTTGTCAGCTACTTCCTGCAAATGTTGAAGAAAATTACTCACAATAGTCTCCACCTCTTCATCATCAGTACCCAAAGTTGCAAATCCCCTTGGTGGGTTGCCCAATTCGCTATCATGGTAATCACTTTCCGACTTTGTCTCGGATACCTGCAGGGGCTTGATCGAAGTGGCCTCCTCAAGGCATCTTAATGGAGAGTTTATTTTTTCCTTTAGTAGCCCTAGATCTGCATTCATTTGTTGCCGTAGTTCCTCCCAAACACCTCCAAAGTTCTGCTCAACTTGTGCGAGAAACTCCGTTTTATAGGCCACAAAGAGTAATAGATCAGCGATTTTCGATAAAGATCCTAGGACCTGATTGTAACCGGAACCCTTGAAGGGCAAGAACCAGCAATTAGGCTCTGTTTCAGCTTCTTGGATGAACTTTTCTAGTTCCTTGACATGGGATTTTAGCTTCCTCTGCTTATCCCTCAATCCGGTAGAAGCCGGTGCACACAAATTTACTCCTTCGATGGAATCTCGAAGCACCCCCATGCTTTGTGAGAGCTTGTTTTTTGCTAGGGTCGCCGCTCTCATTGGATAAAAGGCGATCTCTACTGTTAGAAAACAAAGCAACCCAATGGAAGCCTCTATGATTCTTGCAATCGCAAATTCACTTGGAGCACCATAGTTGTCCCTACCCAAGATTAGTAGAGCCCCAATGGCTGCTGAGACGCCACCAGCTTGGCCATACATCCTGCTATACCTAAGAAAATGGCAGATAATGATCCAAGGTAAGAGTGGTAAGAGCCTGAATTTCTCAAGTCCGTGGAAAATAAAAAACCATAGGATCCCGTAGATCGATCCTAGTGCCGTTCCTTGAACTCGGGCATTTGTAACTGTGAATGTTGCTTGCCTTCCTGTTACAAAGCTGATGGCAATGGTGAGGCCTGACCAGTATCCGTTTTCCTTGTTATACAACAAGCCGAATAACACAGCAAGGCCTAATGCAAGTGAGCACTTGAGAGCAAAAATTAAACTCCTGCGACTCGGGATTATGTTTCTCCAAACCCTTTTGAAGTTCCACAGATGTTGATTTTGTGAATCGCTCGGTTCTTGGTTAGGTTTCCTAGTGTTTCTGGGATTTCGGGCAATGGGCTGATTTTCTAGTAGGAGTTCCATGCAGTACAAGAAGAAGAAAGCCGGAAGGTCCTCATGGTTTTTGGTGGTGGGTTTTTTGGTCCAAAGGGGCTTGTCGAAGATTTCTCTGTCCGACTCTGGAGCTAATGTTGCATCGGAAGGCAAAGAGTACTTAGCTTGCAGAAGCCTTAGTCTAACATGTGCTTCTGAACTTTGTAAATTGCCTCTTAGCTCTTCATCAATCAGGTTAACAGGATGTGAAGAGCAACTAGATAAAGCTATCTCCATCCCCCTCAGTGGAACCTCCGTTTCTTGCAACCTTTCACCCAAGTCCATGTATTTTGGTTTCAGAAATTTGATATGTGGTCTCTCCCACACCATGGTTTCCTGCTTACAAAGAAACAAAAGCCTTTAATTACTGTACTGAACTAATTGGTTCAGCTTAAATTCACCTGCCTATCACAGTTTGACATGTGTAAAAATTCTTTCATTTTGTGTTTTTGATGAGTTATTTATGTATTTGCGCCAAACTGTAATTTGCAGGAAGAAGCAAAGCAATATCCTTTACGAGTTGACATGAGTTAATAGTAGCTTACCAGATTATTAGTGATGTTATGAAGAAGCTTAGCAGCTTCTTTAGAGAGAGATTGTCCTTGAGAAAGGAGTTCGAGTGCTCCGCTCTTGTCCCGGGAAGCGATGGCCTCGATGAAGCGAGTTAACCTCTGGGATGCATTTCCGGCATACAGCCGCCACGATTTACAGACCTGTGAACGCATTATTTCCAGTTCAGTTTACATAATCTACACATAAAAATTATTCCCTACCATTCGCAGTATGTCTATAGAGTGATCTTAGCTAGGGAATTTAGAATCATTAGTTCTTGCTCTCTCCCAACAAGCTTGTGCTAAACAGAATCTACCGAACCTCAGTGTGGTGTTATATTCGATTTCTACATCTTTAATTAAACAGATCTTTTAGCATATCAAGCGGGAGATATGATCAAAAATGTTAGAACTACGCTATTCTAAACTACTATAATCAACTGACTTAACTTATATTGTACATGCACACAAATATTGGATGCTACATGAATTCTCTTTTTCGTTATTAGTAAAGAAAGGAAAATAAACTTTTGACGTAATCTAATTATAATCTACTTTCTCACTCCTCGTCACCACATGAATTAACCCTAATGACTTTCCTAGATCGTTTTCGATGTTGTTTAAGAGACAATTTGACAAGACCAAAGGCCTTCGATTGGACCACGAATCCCAAACTAGGCAACTGTCATGGACTAAGTCATGCCCTTGATTCCTTTTAATTCATATCTAAGATTCTAAATAATCCCATTTTATATTCTGGGTGCATGTATATTATAATTTCCTTCAATCTGATTGGCCAGGTGTCAAAGCTCTACACTTATACAGTTTAGACATTTGATTAGTAGTTCTTAATGATAAATCTGTATAGGAGCTGTTACGTAATGATGGCTGTATAGTACTTAAGCGCCCTACCATCAAATAAAAGATTATGCGGAACTGTCGGCCAAGGCTATAGACACATTGAACACATCAGTTGTAGGGACCCTTACCACTCCAGTAAGACAGTGGGAACTGGGAATGAACTTTGCTTTGTTCCATCCGCATCTTAATTACTATGATATATTCCTGCTGATAATTTTATTATTTAAAACTATGCTACTAAACGCGGGAAATTAGATTTTGTTATTGAATTGTTTGCCAACGTAAGATTCTTAATTGTATTACTAGACTGAAATACGATTCAATGGTCAATTTGTATTTCTTAAATGCAAGCTACTCATATAGACAATCTAACAATACAAATATTATATGTATACAGGGAGGACTCAGAAATTTAACTCAGAGGAAGCACCACAAAAACTAGCTTGATTTCTTACAACTTAGTGGATAAAACTTGCCTAATTTTGTCAATGTTTTCTTTAAAAAAATTTCTTTACTTTTTTATTAATAATTTAATACTCATTCATGTTAACAAAATAGATATGCGGATTGAAAAATGAGTTCAACCGTCATACCTGATAATTTACGACATATGGCCTAAAAAGATTATGTCCCTAGCATTTTCCTTTAGACACAAAAGTGAGTAAGAAAATGAAGAAAGAAAGGTGGGAAGTTTAAGAACTCAAAATGTGACAGGGGGCACGCCCCTTGCGACACTGTCTGGTTTAACTAGCAATATAAGTCCGACACTGAAAATATTACTCGTAAACTGCATGTGTAAAGAGTAAAAGAAAGCAAAGCGAAGGGTTAATTACCTCGTAGTAAGATAGCCGAGGATAAGGAAACAAGACGGCCACAACAGAAGCTAGAGCTCCAAGGGCAGTGCTGGATGCAACACCAAGTGGGTGCATGACAACTCCAGTTTGAGCACCGTGAATCACAGTGCCAACATAAACATTCACAAACTGCCCAAATGCAATTCTCTTAGACATCAAGTGCGTGGACTCCGGCAACGCCACCACAAAAGCACTCAGTGCTACTGCCGCTGCCGCTACCCCCACCGAAAAGTTTTTAGGCTCCACCAACCAAAGGGTCAGCACAGAAGACACCAGAACCTGTGCCGTGGCAAAGATCACATGCCAACTGCTTCTCATGACGTCCCCAACCGTTGCGTCCGGGACTATTAGGATTGTGGTGATGTACGAAAAGGACGAGTAGGTTAAGTACTTTTGAAGTTGTGGAGGTCCATAGAGGGTGGTGCAGCCGACTATGATGCATGCCAAAGCCGTGCGTAGGGCGGAGCATAGGCGCATCCGCCACAACGATTGGGTTTGGTGATCTCCCATTGTCGTGGAGACCAACAATTTATGTCACGAATTACTTGTGAAACAAGGAATTAGTGGTGTGAAATGAGATGAAAGGGTTTTTGCCCTTCAAGTGTTGGGAAGCTTGTTGGTTTTGCGTACAACCTGATGAGAGGAAATAAGGGTTGGGAGGAAGGGTAAGTTTAGAGGAGAGGAATTACACATTATATATGCTCTCATGGAGCAACTTGTATTATATTTATACAAGAAGCTTGTCCCAACTCAACATTTAATCTGAGGCATATTATTTTATTTTTGTGGGACTCTTTTTTCATCTTTTTGCTAATGGAGAAAATAAGAGTTGTGAAATAAATAAAAGAAATAGACCATCAGATTGATATTATGTTTTTAATGATGGATTAGCCAAAAGGGCCAAGTGAGTAAAACACACACACACACACTATTTGGCATTTGACTTTAAACCTATTTTAATAATTATGAAATCCTTGTAAATTAATTAAAACTTAAGACTCTTCTTATAAATTTGGTTTTTTTTCTTTTCTACTTACATGAAAAATATTGGAAGTATATGTGGGCGTAGACACATCGGCTAGACCAAAAGCCTCTTACATGTACTCAAGTTTGATTCCCCTCCTCCATACCTACTTTCATTTGAGAAGTATTAAAATTTTGATATTGAACCTTGTGATATCTTTGTATAGTTTGTTTCTCATTTTTAAGCTACTATTTGGTTAATTGTAGCGTAAATCTGCCATTTAGATTTAAGCTACTAGAATCTTATGTCAATTCGGATTTTGTTTTTTGTCAATTTGTTCTCTAGTTTTTGTAATCATCGATCTTGGAGACTTTGTGATCGTGCCCTTTGTACAAGCCAACTTTTGGGGAACTACTTATTTAATATTTTTTATTAATTTTTAAGAAAAAAATAATTTCACCAGGAATAGGAATATTTTTCATCACAAACGTAAATTTGTTTCCAATCCCTTTAGCGTCGGCACCAGAATACCAAATTTTTTGTCTTTAGAATAAATTCTTGTATATTTTTTTGGACAGTTTATTTATTTATTTATTTGGTCAAATTTTGCTGGACAAGTTAAATACTTTGAGAATTGTTGAAGCTGCTTTGTGTAAAAATGGACAGGAATGTGTGAACCACAAACCAGCATGTAGATTATGAGTAAGTGAACTGTAGTCATTAAGTGACTAATCACCATAATTTAGTCGGCCGACGGCAACTAAGTGACTAATCTTATTCATTAATGATAAGCCTCGATAAAAACCTTATTGGAGCTTTCAACCCAGTCGAAGGGAGGCAAAATAGATAGAGAAATGTTTCTCGCACATCATTTTCTCTTTTTAAAACCCTTGTATAAATCTGTCTCTTGGTCCTCTTTTACTTTTTTTAAGGAAATTTTATTTGAACCCATATATAATCTCACACTACACCCAACTTAAATTTTAAATGTGAATTGTTTTTTTTTTTTCACCCTACTATATAATTAATATTAAGTACAAGAAGAAATTAACAATAAAAATAAAAATTATCAATAAATACATACCCATTAATCAAACCCTTATTATCTTTCTCTTACTTTATATTTTGATTAAAATCCTAAAACGCTCTCATAGAAAAGAAAAAAAATCTCTTTTGACGAATATATCGCTCATAAATTTCTCCTTTTAAGTAAATTTTGTACACATGACTTGGTTTTATCAATATTGGTAGGCTTTTATTAAAAAAGAAAGGGATGTGCTACTCACACACCCATTTTTACTTCTCACACACCCTTTGTTAATTTCTGCCATTTGATCTTCTTTAATTCAGTCGATCCGACAAGCACAAATTAAGAGGGTGTGTATGAAGTAAAAAGGGGTGTGTGGATATCACACCCCAAAAGAAAAAGGTCAGGATGAAAGCCATTCACGATGGTTGTGATGCTGAATTGTCTCTGCGAGTCTTTCCGACCTCCGAAAAGGTGGACTGTAGTGGTGAAGCCACCAGCTGATCCTTTTTTTCTGAAAAGAAAGGCATTCACGAGGAGGTGAAAGCAGGAGAAGCAAGTAACAACAAGCTTCTTCCCTTTTTGAAAACTATGTCTCTCAAAGATGTGCGCTTTGGTCCCAATACTCTTTGCTTCCTAACCTGTTACTGGCCTTCTTCCTAGCCTCGTGGGTTAGTGCGGAAGCATGATTCTCTCAAAGATGCTGTTGCTGTCTCTTACAGTACTTGAGCTTCAAGTCCCTCATCAAATGCGTTCCCCAACCCTATCGACTGTACGGCGGCTTCCGCCTCCGCCGCCACCCCTTTCTTCCCGCTCGTCCGACTTCTCATCCTTCTCTATGTTTTCTCTCACTTTCCCATCAACAAGCACCTTAACCAGCATGATGGATCGCCAACAGCCATGTATGAGGTTTAAATGTGTATAAAGATAAATTAACAAATTGAATTAGGTTTGTAAGGGTAGTTTAGGTAAAAAAAATTAGGTTTAAAGCGATATTGATGGTTTAATTAAAAATAATATAGATGTAGAGAGTAAATTAGGTGTAAAGTAAGGTAATATAGGTTCAATAAAAAATTTCATTTCTTTAATCTAAAAATCAGAAATAAGCACCCTGTGTGCAGGAAAACAACAACAACAACAACAACAACAAAGCCTTTTCCCACTAAGTGGGGTCGGCTATATGAATCCTAGAACGCCATTGCGCTCATTTGTATCATGTCCTCCGTTAGATCCAAGTACTCAAGTCTTTTCTTAGGGTCTCTTCCAAAGTTTTCCTAGGTCTTCCTCTACTCCTTCGGCCCCGAACCTCTGTCCCGTAGTCACATTTTCGAACCGGAGCGTCAGTAGGCCTTCTTTGCACATGTCCAAACCACCGGGACCGATTTTCTCTCATCTTTCCTTCAATTTTGGCTACTCCTACTTTACCTCGGATATCCTAATTCCCAATCTTATCCTTTCTCTCGTGTGCCCATACATCCCACGAAGCATCCTCATCTCCGCTACACCCATTTTGTGTACGTGTTGATGCTTCACCGCCCAACATTCTGTGCCATACAACATCGCTGGCCTTATTGCCGTCCTATAAAATTTTCCCTTGAAGCTTCAGTGGCCTACGACGGTCACACAACACGCCGGATGCACTCTTACACTTCATCCATCCAGCTTGTATTCTATGGTTGAGATCTCCATCTAATTCTCCGTTCTCTTGCAAGATAGATCCTAGGTAGCGAAAACGGTCACTTTTTGTGATCTTCGCTAGATTGCTCCGGTCATTAGTGTGGATAAGTATATATAAATGGATAGAGATAGGAAAGCAAACACAAGATGTACGTGGTTCACCCAGATTGGCTACGTCCACGGAATAGAGGAGTTCTCATTAATTGTGAAGGGTTTACACAAGTACATAGGTTCAAGCTCTCCTTTAGTGAGTACAAGTGAATGATTTAGTACAAATGACATTAGGAAAATATTGTGGGAGAATGATCTCGTAGCCACGAAACTTCTAAGTACCGGAGTGTGGTATCGTCTTGACTTGCCTTATCTGTCTCATAGGTAGATGTGGCATCTTCTCTGGAAGTACTCTTCCTCCATCCAGGGGTGGTATCTGTAACTGGTGGAGATGCACAAGGTAATGTATCAATTTCACTTGAAGCTTACTTGTAGTTTCATGCTTGGTCAAGCGAGATACAAACCATGTAGTAGGAGTCCCCCAAGTCGCCGAGCTGGGGGATCTGCTGAAAGAGGTGACAGACAAGGTAAGCAATCAGAGCTCCGGCTGATTGTTCACATTCTCCCTATCTTGCAGGCAGCATGAAGGATAAAGAGAAGAAAAATGAGGAGAGATGATATGGGATACTTTTGCTTTTGAAGAAGTAACTTTCCACAGGCTTATTCTTGAACTGGGCTGGAGGGTTTTCTGGTTTCCTCCAGAGTATAAGGCCGACTGAAGAATTTGAGGGTCAAAAACAAGTCCATCAAATCTAGAGTACGTTCGACCCTGCTGATATGGGATACTTTTGCTTTTGATAGAGTAGTGGATGTATCGGCACGTGTGCTGTTACGCTTGTCTCCACATGCTTCCTTGTATCCTTCTCACTTGCCCTATCTGTTCCTCAGGCAGATGCGGTATCTTCCCTGGAAGCATAAGATGTTGAAGATGAGTACTCGAGAGCAATGCCAGGTAAGTAATCAGGTAAGGGGTTCCAGGCAGTCAGTTCCTGGCTGGAAGCTTGATTCCAAGTGCTGACTGATTGCTCTCTTTCTCCTTGTCTTGCAGGTAAGAACAAGGCCAAAGGAAAAGACAGGGAAAAAGCATGATATGGGATACTCTTGCTTTTAACCCTGATGATATGAGATATATTCTTGCTCTAGTATAGCTTGTTTACAGAGGTATTATCGGGGGGAAAAAAAAGCTGAATATTTCGAAAGGCTTTGTTGGGAGTGCCCTCTCAGATAAGAGAAAGGGTTGAGCATTTTTGCAGGTCTGCCTGTCCGTTAGGGATGGAAGGTCGACATATATAGGAGTCTCCCTAACATCAAGTAATAATGCTATTCCTTTACCCTGCTTGGTTATAGCACGGTAGTGGGAGCTGCCAGCTTCACATGTTTTAACTCTGTCAGAGCACTTTGAAAAAGTGGTTTGTGGTATCTGGAAAGCTGATGTTGCGTGTGAAGATTACAGACCTGTCGGGGGTCTGGCTCTCGAGATTCGGAGAACGATGCCTCTTCGATTTTTGAGAAAAGCAATCCTGCTGGGGGTCTGGCTCTCGAGATTCGGAGAGCGGTGTCTCTTCGATTTTTGAGAGAAAGTAATCATGTTGGGAGTCTGGCTCTCGAGATTCGGAGGGCGGTGCCTCTTCGATTTTGGAGCAAGCAATCTTGTTGGGAGTGTTTTTTCTCGAATGTGAGTAAAGGTTGGGCATGTTTGCTAGTCTACCTTGCCACGAAGCACAGAGGTTGACACACAGGGACTTTCCAATTATCCAGCAGTGGTACTGTTCCTTTACCCTCTCTTCGATT